TGGTAAAACCTCAGTATAACTTTAGGCTCACTCTCGATACCGCAGACAAAGACTGGGTAGACAGTGCTAAAAATATTGGCGTAACCATAGATACATCTTTTTTTTCCATGAACATGTGACAAACATTTTCAAAGTATCATTCTTCAAACTCAAATCTTGCTTGCATGCGATTCGTATGCTATACCATATGGTGAACATGTCACCCCATTTTTGTTAAAAATGAAGGAGCTGAATGTGAGGTACAGAGTCCAATATTTGATAAAAATGTTTTTGTTTAAGTTGCTTAGTGTTTTTCTGCAGGTTTACAGGTAGTCGTTGTCTAAAAATAAAAACTTTCTATTGGTTTTGCTAACAATACTCTCATTAAGCTACGAAAATACAAAGTATGCAATAAAAATCTGCATTTAAAGCCATATCGAACCCATCACACACAGAAAACTAACATCCTGTATTTTGTGACCAATTGACGGAATCAATCTTAAGAAATAAATCTATATAATGCATATTACCTCTATACTTTGGGATAGGCCATATTTTCATAAATCATAAAACGTTTAAATTATTGTTACAAAATGTGAAGAGAAACTTTTTGGCGATTTCTAATATTTCTAGTACTCATAGGTACCAAAAATGATTTCGTTACTCACCTTGGAAAAAAAATGTAGTAGACTGGATTTATTCTTAGTCGCCGTTTGCAATTCTTCTTCAATTCTCTTAGATACAATGATATCTAGTTCCTTGTCGGACTTTGCTTGTAATTTATAATTTTGCCACACTTCGTTAACTAACTTTTGGACATTTTGTACTTTCGTACTTGTATGAGATTTTTTGAAACTTTCAAACAATTTTTGGTATAACTTGGATTTGTCTATTTGAAACGACATCTTATTTAATTAAACGTTAAACTTTGGCTAATGGAATCAACGGTAACACAAATGTTAAGTTGCTTTGCTATGCTTACAACACGTACGTCTACTCGCTATAGTATCCAAACAAAACAATACACTGACGAGAAGAAATTTAGACAAGTGAACAGCGCGCGGTAATTCCCCGAATCGGTTCTAAAGCAAGTGCCTAAACGTATTCGTGCGGAAATCCCCAAAAATGCTTTTCGTTTTCAAGCATAGACAATGTGAGGGTTGCCATTCGTGTAAAAAAGTAAATAACTACCGATGACGTAATCATCATCTAGACTCCCCTACCCCCCATGTCATCCAAAATAAGCAAAACAAAGACCCTCCACCCCCACAATAGTGCTTACGTAATACTTGAACGGCCCCTTTTGACAATATTTGAATAAGAAACAAATCCCTTTAAAAATTAAAACCCACCATTTGAAACATCAATTTGAATACTTTTCGAAGAGACTTTGAAAAACTCATGAATTAATCTCAACGTTATTTTGTTCAAACTTGCATTTGCTTTAATAACCCAAATTGAGGAACATTCCCCATTACCTTCAAACAAAGAAAATGTTATTATAATCAGTCAGTCTTTATTTTATATCTTCAAATCAGAACGTTAAGCAGTCTTCGACATTTTCACTTATTAATAATCAACAAATCAACATGCCCCTTGTTTAAGAACAAATATTAATTGCGCCTTAAAAATACTTAAAATAGGTGGTGTGTTTATTTGAGTAGGTGTAGATTCTTCTTTACAAATATGAAAAGCATAGATCTAATTCAAATAACCTATTTTCGAAAGAAAAGGCTTCTAGTGGTTACCCTGCATATAGGAAAATATTTCTAGAATGAATGTACTGATATCTGAAACTTCTATACGAAACTCCACTCCTTCATCTAATACTTATAATGGAAGCTCTAAGTGATACACACTCTATGTGCATGTAGAATATTATTAGGAATTTATAGAGTTTATGGTTTTCCAATATCTTAACTAACTTTCTTTAAAATACACCGTAAAATAACGTCGATAGATCAGAAATAAAGTACCTACGTACAATTTCGGCTGTGTGGAACTGTTGTTCATCTCTTGATAAAACAATTCCATCATTTGCACGTGTTGTTGAATGGTCTATCCGTCCATGGTGATTTGGCAAAAGAAACTGAATAAATGACAACCAATTTTGACAGATGTAGCTTCAACAAGATAGCCGTTATCAATTGTCGAAAAAACATTCTATAAGATAATTTTTTATATTTTATTGCAAAACATTTGATACTTGAATATTTTCACGGTTTTCCTTGATTTCTCCAAAAGTACTAAAAAGGAATGTCAAGTACCTATGTGGTATTTTTGAAAAGGTTGCTGAACGACCTTTAAAATGAGGTATTACTTAATCCTCTTTTACGTTTAAAATTTTAGAGGTTATAATCGCCCCTGCTAATGACTTCATATGTCATATGTAACTCATTTGAAAACTAGCCTATTAAATGTACCTATCCCTTAAAAATATGTTTGACGTGTTTTTACATGTTTCCAGATTCTCACTAGGGACATAAATATACAGATGGTGTTACGTTTTCAAATTGATCCCCGTTGTTATAACAACATCCACCCACTAGGAAGTATGTTTATACATATCAAGGAATAAAGTACGGGATGAACAACATTGGTCTTTCGCTTTGAAATTTAACATTTTTGATTTATAATAGCCCAGTATTTTGTGATCATTATGGTCCAGAAGACGTGTATAGCTCGTCCATAACAGTGGGGATAAAACCTCCTTCTAGGACAACTCCTTGCTAGCCTTGTCACCACCCTAATATGCCTATCAAGTAGTGTTTCTAACGTTTTTAATGCACATGACAAATAATTTTCGAAGTAGGAGTTCCGTTCCTTTCAGCATTACCAAAAAAATGCCATCTGGTCCCAGTGACTTATATAACGTTACGACTCACTTGATTTTATAAAAATCTACCACTTTCTTTGCCACCAGGCAATTCGTCCTTGACGTTCTCTTAGGGGCCTTCAGTTCTAAATCTATTCAGGATTCCGATATTAGATTTATAATTTCTGACTGGGGAAAGTGCATTACGAGTAGCTCTTTTATTTGCATTGCTATCTAAGATTTCCTTAGGGTCCTTTGGATTGATCTAAAATACCCTTTTTCTTGTTTGTTGTCACATCTGTGCCAGATGTTCATTCGTCCAGGAAACATTCTCTAGTAGATGGGAAAACAATCTTCATTGTATGTGGAGATAAAAGNACCCGTGTTGTTTATTAGAAACAGTTATTTGATAGTATCTGTTTTAATTGATTTTTGAATTGCGTCGAGGGTCTATTCCTAAACTCTGTGGGAAGAAGGTTGAAGAGCCATATGTCGTCTCTTTGCGTTCGTTGCAGACAACGTACGTACCGTATTCAGATATGCAAAAAGAATTAAATGAAATAGACTTCCATCGACTAATCGGTAGGTTCTGGACAAGTTTAGTGAGGATGAATATTTTTTGGATTCCATTTTATTTTCTGATGAAACTACATTTCATAAAAATGGCTTAGTGAACCGAAACAACTTCCATTATTGAAGTGATGTGAATCCTCATTTTTTCCGCAATCTGAATCACCAGAATAGGTTTGTTAACATGTGGAAACTTAAATGGTTGAAAATTTCTACAATTTTTACGAGATGGCCTGCCAGAACTTCTGGAGAATATGCCACTAAATATCAGACAACAGATGTGGTTACAACTGGATGGAACTCCAGCACATTTCAAATTCAGTGTCAGACAGTTTTTGAGTATGTGCTTTTCGAATAAATGGATTGGTAGGGAAGGATCACAAAATGGGCCAGCGAGATCCCCAGATTTGACTCGCCACGATTTTTTTCTAGGGAAATACTTGAAGAATGGGGTGTACGACACTCCTCCAACCACACTGAAAAATATGAAGATGAGAATCAAGATTTGCTTCTCAAAGAGTGACGCCTCAAATGTTAATAAATGTTAGGCAGTCTTTCATAGAGAGAGTGGATCTTTGTATTCAACAGGATGGTCGTCATTTCGAGCACCTACTTTAAATTAAATACAATTATGTTTCATATTTTGTTGTTATATCAGTTGAATAATAAAAAAAATTGTGTAGTATGTTTAATCAACTTCTCTCAGAATATGAATATAAATGATAACTTCATTTCAATAGAAGATGTTCCATTAAAAAACGCAACTTTGATATGTCACACTTTTTTTAGCCACCTTGTAGACTCCAAAATAATTTCCTTCTGCTGCCTCAATCAATATACATATAACGAAATGGAGGAATTCCCGAAAAAAATTAATGGTTTGGTTTATAGGGACTGTGTCGAATGAGGTTCCCCTCCCTGTATAATTTAACAATTTCATTCATATGACCTTCTACCTACCTCTTATTACTAGTAACTATAGCAGGGTGTAGGTATGAACTAATGGAACAGGTTTAAACAATGAAAAAAATACAAACACATTTAAATGGATAGGTACTAAATAAACATCATCTGAATTCCACGTCATAGTCTAAATTAAAATCCTGCTGAGAGATGGTTTGCAAATGTGAAATTCATCTTTCCATTCAAATAACTACGTCTATGTTCTTTACTTCTTTGGAAAAAAGTTCTCCCCGTTTGGCCAAGAGCCACAAATAACTTATATACTCCTGATCTATCCGACACTGAAGTTTTGTATTTGTTTTTAATAAATTTGCTTGAATTATTACTATTTCTGTAAGCTGCTGTGCTGGTTTAGGGATGGCACGACGCTCATCAAATTATCGAAATTCCGAGGGATAATGTAACATAAACATTGCCAAAAACAATTGCTAAAAAATTACAACAAAAATTTCGAAATTCGATTTTTGGAATCATTCAATAGTACTTTCAGATTGTTAACTTTGTTTATTGAATAGACTCTACACCTCTTACCGTTTATCTATGTATAGAAAAGAATTTAAAGAGCCCTGTATAACTGACTCTTCAACATATTGTTTTCATAATGTGAAAAAAACAAGAAATACATTTTAAAAAGTTTATGTACAATAAAGTTACCCAATCAAATAAAAAAAAATACAAATCAGTCAATATTTATAAAAATGTCATTCAAAAATTATCAACTATACAAAATAAATAATATACCTCATCTATTCTGTTGAGTGTGATGTGTATTAGTATCAGATTTGCTAAATAGTGATATTATCCTATTTATCATGTACATAGTAGGAAAGAAAACTGGTAACGTTATGTACCTGAAACAATAAAAAATATATATCAACACAACTCAAGAAAATGAGATGTCAATGTCATATTATCAAATATCCATGCAGAAATTTGGAATTTAAATTTTAATAGCTCTTTGCACTTTCC